ACCCGTGCACTTGCGGTGTAGGATTTTAGTGGACAGCAGTTCTCCGCGAATCGGATTTCTAACCACCAATGCAACTTTGACGGCAAGATTTTATCAGGAAAAACTTCAAAATGAGGTATCTCATACTACAAAATGAGGTATCTTTTAGTGCATGTTTGGTATGCAATACTGGATGGACAAGACTCGAGAGGGTAGTAAAACATGATTTTAACTTTTTTCTTTCTTAATATTTTACAATGGTGTCAAATTCTCCTTACCAAACATGCCATTAATTTATTGACTAAATATTTTCTTGAAGTTACTTTGGCATCAACTTTCTAACTTTAATAAAAGAAAATTGCTCAAGAAAGACTCAGTTGTATCTGATAGATTTCTAATACAATGTTGAACCCATGTATTGGCAACCAACTAAATTAGCTACCGTTTGGCCCCCATTAAATTACGTTTTATTTTTCCCTATCCTATTTCCAACCATAGTCTTCCATAAAATAATATTACACGTAAATTGAAGATTTTTTTTTTTTACCACTCATTTATTTTAAAAAAAAAAATACTCTTTTACTCATTTTCATTTCCAAAAAAAAGGGGGCCAAACGGGGGCTTAATGATGAATGTAAAATGCATATAGATTTGTACAGTATCAAATTCATATACCATTCCAGCTTTATCATCAACCCTTCCATTTATTGACGCATTTGTGTCATCTTTAGTAGGCTAGATTTCATAGAGTACTCATGAAGAATGAAAAAGTTGTTTGTTATACTGTCCAATAGTGTAGATCAAACATGTACTTAATGCACTATGCCGTGCTTCGACGCTCTGCATTTGCATAGTTTAATCTTAAGCATAGATCTCCATCACTAGGATATCTATTACACTACCATTCAATTTTGTGCTAATTGGAATCTTCTTAAGTTTTATAATATTCTGATTACCAGAACAATAATAGTTTTCCATATATTACAAATGTCTAAATTTCAAGTTTTTGCGGGTTTCGAGGTTATACTGCCAGATAAAGCAACAATGGAACACACACTGATCCCTGCAACGGAAGCATTAGGCAGAAAAGACATTGAAGGAGCACAGAATTTGTTTAGAATTGCTTTGCAAGTTCTACTAGTCAAGGATGTTAACACTGTTATCCTGCCTCTGATGACGCTCGGGAACTTTTGCCACCAAATGATCCTCTATGGAAGAAATGCATTGACCCGATGGATGCATTAACCAGGTCAACAGTCAAGTATGCTCAATCATCCGATGGAGGTAAATAAAGAAATTTGGGGTGCACGATTGGTATACATTATTGGACAAAAATGAATAGTATAATGATCAAGGTGTTAGTTTCTTTTTCTTTTTAGTAGTTTTAAGTACTATCCAATCATCTGTACTCTACATGCTAAGGGTGTTATCTAGCTTTCTTTTCAATGAACATCTGAAAAATCTAGCTGTCGTCATTATTCTTTGCACTAACTATTCTTCATAAAGGATGTGGTGCATAAATTGATCTGCATTATGTGTTCTTGTATTTAAAGCTTTGAAAGAATATTAAATGGAAAATCTGTTTGGAAAATTAGTTTGGAGGCTCTTAGAATTCTACGTGATAATTATATTCTACATCTTGCCTCCTATCCCGTGACTAAACGGCCCAGCCCATCTTTACAGCCGTGCTGTGCTATCTAAAAAGAGAGAACTATAAGTACACCAACAGGCAAGAGAGTCTGTAAAGATTTGAATTATATTAAAAGTGAACGACAAAATGAAACAGTGTTAACTTCGAAAAACACACTTAAAAACAACCACTAACACGGAATGGATCAAAGGTAACAACAAAACAATTATAATATGTTATTAAACCACTTCAAATCCTGTTACTAGCACTCAAACACTCCAAAGTCGGAATTTGAGTGAGAAAACTGATATTTTTAATGAAAAATAAATGCAACCAAACATACCCTAAAAGAAGTAGTACAAATTTGTAATAATAATGATAATGATGTTGCTTTCATATTTAAGAAATGTTATAATTTATCTCAACGCAATCCGCAATTTCTAAGCGGACTATACATGTTAGGTTGGTATGTACAGATATGCGGAACTCAACATGAGCTATGCCAAACTTAACCATGTTAGACTCTAAGGGTGTGTTTGATTACTAATATTTTTCGTGAAAAATGTGTTTTTTCCATCCAAATTCCTACTTTTGTGCAATTTGATAGTCATTTTTTTCCAAGGAAAATGTTTTCCTACTTTTGGTCACGTGACTATATTTTCCTCAAAATCATGGAAAATATTTTCTTTAGGGGAAGTATGATTTTATTTTCCAAGGAATTCACTCTATATTTCTCTCTCTAATCTATCCACTCTCTCTCTCATCTACCCACTAATAAAAAACGGACAAGTATAATTTTTCTAGATTGAAAATTAGATCAATCAAACACATTTAATTGACAATTTTCAAGTAAATAAGTTTTAGGCAATTGAATTACCTAGAGTTTATATTCTTCCATGCGAATTCCATGCTTGCAATCAAATGTATCATAATTTTTTATTCAATTTTTAGCGGGTTTCTGAATACATAATATTATTCCAAAACGAAAATTCAAGATCATGGTGCAACTTAGCTAATTTACTAAGATTCGATTTGAGATTGATTTTAGAATAATATTTTTATTGTTAAATAATTTACAACAATTTCAAGCATCTGATAAAATTTTAAAAAGGTGATTATTAAAGAATATGTACCATCGGCAGCATATTTTCGTGACAACAAAATAGTAGTTTTTATATTCAACTTTAGCTTTGGCTTCTCTAATTATATATCATTAAAATGTTAATTTTAGCGCTTCCTAATAAAAGTAGTTCCTTTTATGTTCCAAGTTAATTAACATTCCAGAGTAATTTAATCGAATATTTTCTACTCTATGTATGACTATGTTTTTATTTTATAATTGTGTAGATTTTGAGATTTATTAGATATAATTTTTAATTTTAAATACAATTTATTTAATAATTTTTTATTATAAATACAACACACTTTATGTGTGACTATGATTTTTCACGACTGCCAATGTAAAGCTCCAAAATCTTAACCACAATCGAACTCAAAAATTCAGAATCCAATTTTAGATCACAAATTAAAAGTTGCAAAGATGGAAACCAAAATACCCCAAATAAGAACCTTTGTTAACTTAAATTTTTTTGCATAATCCAAATCCCACCAAGACCACAATATGTTCCTATTCCAAATCCTAACATAGTTGGTGTCTGAAGTTTTAATTACTGAATCATAATCAAACGTGAAATTTTCAATTGCTTGAAACTAAATATTCTCTTCATTTTTCTCTGATATTCGAGAGATTAGTAATCAGTCAACAATCATGTCATTCATATATGATATTGAATGAAGTCTTGTTAACGTGTAAATGCAATGTAAGCAACGACGAGTGGTAGGTGGCGTGAGTGACTTTTATCTTTTGGGGAGTTTTTCTTGCAATAATAAGCCCACATTTTTAAGAAAGAATTTTATTCTAATCAACTATTTTTATTAAGTACTAAATATAACCATGTACAAGAACCGTGATTCCTAAAGAAATTCTTGTAACTAATTTGAGTTTAAAAATGTTGAGTTTGATTGGGGTTGGGATTTGGAGGCTCTACATTGGAGCTGGTGAAAAATTGACAAAAAGCGGTATCGGTGGCGACATGGATGGGAGAGGGGAGGAGGGTTGGCGTGGAATGGGATAGGGGAGGGGTGAGAATTGGGGAAGAAGGTGTAATTAGATTACTTCTATTTCTAGTGTTTTCAATGTCATAATAAAAAATGCTAAAAAAAAGTAAACAAAATATTTCAAGTTTTATATTATAATTAATCTTATTTTCAAAAATATCAAAATAAGTTTTATGGGTTTTATAATATTGAAAATAGCAAAATTAACGCTTTCTTAGTATTTAAGTATCTACTTATTTTTACAAAAAGGTAGAAATCATTATCGAAAAATACCATTTTTTATATAAATTTGTGGTATTTATTAATAACACTCATATTCTTCTACCTATAGTGGGAAGTTTTATTTTGTCGACTTTGGATAGAATCTTATGTAAAATTCTTCTGCCACAACAATAAGTAGGTAGTCTGAGAATAATTTCTTTATTAATAAATATAAAGAGTAATGCAATTTAGCTATACTGGGATTGCAATCTCAGTTTAGATTACGATAATGTGACATTAAATGATAAATGAAATTAAATAACTCATTTAATTTTATCTTCCAGTTAGCTTATTGTTTAATGCACCTTAATTGGGCTGGGATGCAACTCGACTAAGGCTATGTAACATTACTCAAATATAAAAGTAATATATGTAATAGTATAATACAATAGTTATTTACTTCACCAGGCCCCCCTGTATGACCACCATTCTTTTCAAAATTTAATGGTTGGAATAATATTTTTTGAAAATTGTGTGATTGAAAAAGAATGAATTTTTTTTAATTTGTGTGTAATATTATTTTATAGAAAATTATGTGGTTGAAAATAAGAGAGAGAAGAAAAATAAGAATGAGAATGGGGCTAAACAGGGACCAGATAAGCATTATTTTTGGGATAAAGTTATTCTGCCAGATTGATTATACTAAATTTTGTACAGGTTACTCATAATGGAATGGGTCCCACCCAAGGACATTTTCCGACAGGGGTCTATATATAGGGGCGGCCCCACACGAAAAAGAAAAAAAAATTAAGCCGGAGCTCGCGCATGTGCGTTGTTTGGCATGAGTCTATGTACCTGCAGTACCATCCTTAAAAAATAGCACAATCCTTATTTTTGTGTTTCTGGGACCCATTACCATCATCGATAGGCGTAAGCTGTTACCACGTCAGGGCAACATTTCACATGGTTCGTAATCTGATACGTATGAAATGCCTACTTGGCCAGCATGTAGAACCTTCAGCCCTCCTATATAGTTGGAATCGTCTTCTCGTTCTCTTCAAATTAACCCTCCAATTTTCTTCGAAGTGCCGTGATCAGCTTAGTCTCATATTCTCTCTCTAAAACCATTACATACACTCTACTCTCTCTCTCTCTCTCTCTCTCTCTCTCTCTCTGTACCCACTTCTTGCATTTCTTGGAGAAAAATGAAGGAGAATAAGGGAAACCCATTACATTTATCATCTTTGAATCATATTTCTCTGGTGTGTAAATCAGTCGAGGAATCTACTGATTTTTATGAAAACATTCTTGGATTTGTTCCTGTTAGGAGGCCTGTATCATTTAAATTTGATGGATCATGGTAATCCCAATATATATTTTCGATTCTTGAATGTAAATGAAATTCCTTTTGTAAATACTAGATTTTCTTGATGGGATTTGTTCATTTCTTGAATTTTGCAGGCTATTTGGCCATGGAATAGGGATCCATTTATTGCAGTCAGAAGATCCAGAAAGTTTTCCGAAGAAAACTGTCATTAATCCAAAGGATAATCACATTTCTTTCCAGGTAATATTCCCTCATTTATATTGAATCATTGTTCTATACATACTAAAGAGAATGCAATATTCTTGGACACCACGTTTTTGTACACTGTATTCAACATGAGCTTAGGTAATAGTGTCTAATACTATATCATGAGCGGATGATTTGTTGAGTCTTAATCTCGTCCTATATAGTGTATCGAACATACCTTGTTAAGTTTAAGGTTCCATATTAAAATCTCAACCTATAAGAGAAATAACTCAAGTTATTATATGCTATTTATTGCTTAGGATATTTTATTCAGTCCTATAAAATGTTGTTTCGTTTGGGATGTTTTGAGATTTAAATGGATCGATTTGCTCATTTAAGTTTAATCGACTTTGATATAATACGAAGATTTGAAGTTTCATACTAAACTTCATTTGATTTAGTTAAAAGTTGATAGAAGTCTAACTCAAAATGAATAATTAATTTTAAGCACACGTTTTATGAGATCTATAACTTTTATAAACTTTTCAATAATAGTTTTCATCATTTTTTCTTAATCAAAATAAACTAATGATTTGATCTTTAGAAAAGATAAGGAGGGGCTAAAAGGTGAACCTTGTCATGAGTAGCTTAAGTCGTTATATTATTTATTATTTTGATATTTATTTGGCATGTAATTTTACCCTTAGTACACTGTCTATTTCTGACTCGTATTGCATATCGAGCACGTTTACGTGTTTTCATCCATGTTTGCATATTCATGGCAGTGTGAGAGCATGAATATGGTGGAGAAGAAGCTGACAGAGATGGGGATCAACTACGTGCGACAGCGGGTAGAAGCAGGTGGAATCTACGTTGATCAGCTATTTTTCCACGATCCAGATGGATTCATGATTGAAATATGCAACTGTGATGATCTTCCTATAATCCCATTGGCTGGAGAGATGATCAGATCATGCTCCAGAATCAATATGCGGATGATCCAGCAGCAGAAGATCCATGTCCGAGTACAACCTTAAAAGACTTAAGAGAAGTGTCACCTGAAAGTTGAATCTATATTAGATCTTTCTTCTTAATTGCTTCCTCAGTTTCTCGTCTTTGTTTCTTGCATGAGATTGTGGTAATAAAAGGATATCGCCGTGTGTACAATGATAATTTTCCTTAAGGCATGTTTAGTTTGTATTCGTGGTTGCTACTATATTTGAATTTTTGCCTTTTATGTTTGCATTCTTGGCGGGGTGGAAGCTCTAATAACACATGTTATTCCAAATCGGATTTTAAAGAACGAGATGATATGACAATATTAAAGTATACTAGATCACACCGAAAAACAAGGTTTAGAAGTAATGAAAAACACAAAAGATTAATGGCAAAGGACGGTGTTTATTAATTCAACAATATGAAGAATACTAAGCAATTTAGCAATTGGCTTTTGTCTGTTACACTACCTAAACTAACAAAGGAGCCTAATATTTATACTACACGGCCAAACCCTAAGTAGAGTCCCAAAAGGTAAGAAAATATATTACAATTAGGAGATCCAGTTTCAACAGGATTTTGTTTTCTTTTGTTGGATGCAATTAGATTTCCTTTCCTAGTAAAAGTCTAACACGCATCTTCAAAAGACTCCTAACCAATTTCTAGGATTCCACTCGATCAAATTCTAAATCAACAATAATCCTAACACATTTCAGTCACCAAACCTAACAATCTCCACCTTGACTCAAATTTCGATGCTACGAACGAAACTCCTAGATTTCAAATCCCTCTGCATCGAAATTAATGGGCAAAACTCCTCAACATAGCAACCATTCCTTATAAACCAAATACTCGTCCTTTGGCCGGTGTCCACAACTGACACCCGAACCCAATCCCGAAGGTTTCCAATTCCATCAAGGAATTAATGTTGATCACACAGGGCCAAAAACACCCTGTAGTAAGAACCAAACCAAATGTTTGATCAGAATGCCTCTTGCTGGAACTATCACCTTCAACATCATCAAAAGCATCCCAAATATTGCTGACACCACGGCACCTACGCTCGATGAGTCCTACCTCAATAACTGAACACATTGTACCCGCTAAAATTGGTAGCAAAGCGGGATCACCAACGCTCTCCCTAGCAGTGTTCTGAACCAACTCAGAGCCTAACCCAAGAGATACTGTACCAAACTGAACTTCCATCACGATATACATTTGTCCAAATGTCTCCTAACAGGTTTTGCACTCCTCTGCAAAATGTACAACTGGGATCTTTTTCGTCCTTCCAGTACAACCCGGACTCCCTTTCGGACCTTCGAAACTCCACCTCATTAAGAGAATTTATACCTTTTTGCATCCGTGGTACTTAGCGAAATGAGATTCCTTTTCAGGTCAGAAATATGTCGAAACTGATCAATTTTTCTAAATGTTCCATTCCGCAACCTCAATTTGACACGATCAATCCCAGCAATACAGTAAGATTGGTTGTTTCCCATTAGAACTCTACTTTGTTGAAAGTCTCATTTGTCTGAAATAAATTCCTATTGAAACACATATGGTGCTAACATGTTGAATCAAGAATTCACTTCTCTTCAGGCCTAGACTCCACATCAAATACCACGGTCATCATCACCTCTTCGCCATCTAAGCAATTCTTAATTACATTGGTTTCGTCTGAATTCAAAAGTTGCATCCCACAATTGACAGCTAAATCACATTTAGCTTGCAACATATCGCAATCCCTCTGAATATGTCTCTTCCTTTTGCAGTAATAACAGGTCATATTGCTAAATCTGACTCTCAATCTCCCTCTTCGTTGACCACCTTGAGATACAAGAGCTTCCCCATCCCTTGATGTAACTTCAACCAAATGCTTCATCTTATACTTTGAGTGCAAAGTATTATAGACATCTTCTCTATTTAAAGTATCTCGACTATACAAGATAGTATCTTGAAACGACGCATAAGACCCAAGCAGTGAACACAACATGATCAACGCAAGATCCTCTTCATCGTATTTAACCTCCAACGTTTTCAGATCTCCAACTATTTCCTTGATCACGTCAACATGGTCTTCCAACGGCTTTCTTTTCGCTATGCGATGTGAATACAACTTCTGCTTAAAAGTCGGTTTGCTTGGAAGACTCTTAGTCATACAAAACTGCTCCAACCTCAACCATAAAGCAGCCACCATTTTCTCCTTCAAGACATCCTGCAGAATGTTGTTGGACAGATGAAGATGAATTAATGACGTAGCCTTCCGATCCTTCCGTTGTTTCTCTTCCATTGTCCATTAACGCTGCCATCCTCTCAAAACCCAGCAATGCATCTTCCAAATCCAACTGCGCCCGAACAACCCTCATCTTTACTTACCACAATGAGAACCTTGTATTTCAATCTAATTGTAGAATATCATACTTCAACCCAGCCATCTTGGAAAAACAAATCTCAACCAATCCACAGAAAATCAACAGTCTAACTCTGATACCACTTGTTGGAGATGGAAGCTCCAATAACGCACGTTAATTCCAAATCGAATTTTAAAAAACGAGATGATACAACAGTAGATCACACCAAAAACCCAAGGTTTAGAAGTAAAGAAAAACACAAAGGATTAATAGCAAAGAACAATGTTTATCAATTCAACAATATGGAGAATACAAAACAATTTAGCAATTGACTTCTATTTATTACACTACCTAAACTAACAAAGTAGCCTAATATTTATACTACATGGCCTAATCCTAAGTAGAGTCCCAAAAGGTAAGAAAATATATTATATTTAGGAGACTCAATTTCAACGGGATTTTGTTTCCTTTTGTTGGATGCAATTAGATTCCATTTTCAAGTACAAGTCTAACAGGCATCTTCAAATGACTCCTAATCAATTTCTAGGATTTCACTTGATCAAATTCTAAATCAACAATAATCCTAACACAAGTGTGTTCACTTTTAGTATTGACTACTTTCGAAGGGTTGAGCACGTGTCCATGTGAGAGTAGACTAAACATTTTATGTCATTCGATCACGATCATTTGAATGATCCAATCCACGGGCTTACGATCGTAGCACCTCAACATGCACAATTTATTTCTGGATTTTCATCAATGACTTTGTTATGAATTGGTTTTACTCGAGCTTGCAAAATTGGTGGACAAGGTGAGCGTCGTGTAAGAAATTATTCTTCTATCAAAGATGACCATTGATATTCATAAGTTTTAAATTGGATCTGAGCACAAGGAACACACAAATTTAGGGATGTAATGATATATTTATGTAATTTGTACCTTCAAGTCCAGATAATGATTGAAGTGTATTTCCAACTTTTTGGGAAGAAGAGTTGGTTTTTAATGTTTGGCCATGTATGACTTACGATCACTTGAAGAATTTACAAGGGAAAATCATCATTACAGATCATATGAGCTGAAGATAATATGTTAAGGACAATATTGTCAATAATAAAAGTTCAGAATAGAAGTGCAAAAGGAAATAAATGTTGGAAACAAGAAGTGCAATAAACTTCATAGTACTTGTCCTAATTTTGTCCTAGGGGCTAGCACGTTAAATAAAGAATAAAATTAAAAGAATCTCATTACAAATAATATTAGCGGTCATTTGATTAATTCAATAATATTTACATGATTAAAAAATAGAGACATTTACAATATTAATTTATTCACCATCTAGAAAAGTTTTGATTTGATGCTATTTCCTAGAATCATGCTACAAATACATAATTTTTTGACAGAAAAAACTTAAAGACAATATATGGAGCGATATAATTGGAAGATGAGAAAAAAGAAGAAAAATCATCCTCTTACATTTTGCCACGTCAATGTCAGCATAAGTTTTAAAAAAAAAAAAAATTATGTACTTGAGGCTTTATTGTATTTCATATGTGAAGGGGCCACTTCATTTTTAACTGCCAATTAATTCGCTTGCAATTGTCTCAAATTCAAAGGCTGAATTTTTATTTTCTGCTTTAAACAAGACAAAAAAAATGGTAAAAAGTGTTTCCACGATTTCTTGAAAAGAATAATTTTACGTTGTGTTAATTGACAAGTCCTCAATTCCATGTTAAATCATCGCCACTAGTCATATCATATTCATTATTGTAGCATTAAATTTCAAGTTTAACAACTAAATGGAGGTAAATTAAAGTTCAATAAATAACGAGAATTTTTTCTTTGGAATTTGGAAACAAATAGCGAAATTCATATTAACAATTCGGAGATTCTCTCTCACAAATATGAATTCGTTCCCGTAATGGAGATGTACTACGTTGGATCCATATGCATAGTGATACAGTAGAGTAGGCAGAGATGCTAACTTACTAGCTTAAACATACGAATTTTTCTGAGAGGAAGAACATCTGGGTTATCGGATCCACTGCAAGTGAGGGTAAGCTTAATGCCAAAAAGAATCTCAAGGACAAAAGTAAAGTAGAATAAACTTTGAGGGAGATGGAAGGAATACGGATTTTTTCAAGAGGAAGAATATATGGGTTATCGAATCCACTGCATGTGACAGTAAGTTTAATGCCAAAAAGAATCTAAAGGGTAAAAGTAAAATAAAATAAACTTTGAGGGAGATTGAAGGAATACAAATTTTTTCATAAATAGCTTAATGCCAAAAAGAATCACAAGGATAAAAGTAAAGTAGAATAAATTTGAGGGAGATGGAAGGAATACGAATTTTTCCAAGAGGAAGAATATCTGGGTTATCGAATCCACTGCATGTGAGGGTAAGCTTAATGCCAAAAAGCTTAGTTATCAAAGTCGGCTCGGACCAGCTAGTCGGACCAAAAAACCCATAACTCGAGCCCCTGACCGGGCCGGATAGAATATTTTTATAAATATGCAACTGACTCGGTAAAAATCTATTAACTGGCGATTTTTATATTAACTCGGCCGGTTAACTGGTTTGACCAAGATTTAAAAGTTTGTCCATAAAATTTTTTGTTCGCAAAAGGACTTGAACCTTAGACCTCTAAGTTAAATGGGTACCATCTAACAACTAGAGATCAAGTGTTTATTGATATGTATTTACAATAATTATATATATCTAAATCATTTATAGTTTGTTAAAAATATTTTAAAAAAATTATAGTAACTATTTTGATTAACATGAATTGAATATTTAACAAAATAATATATAAATAATTAATAATAGTAAATTTTTTTCTTTTTGTTTTATCTAAAAGAAAATTTTTATACTTTAAAAAATATTTTATAATTATTAAGCGTTGACCCACCGGTTTAACCACTAACTCACCGGTTTGACTAGCAACCCGAGACCCGGTGCCTTGAGAGGATCAACGGTCGGTCGGGTTTAATAACTATGCCAAAAAGAATCTCAAAAAATAAAAGTAAAATAAAATAAACTCTGACCAAGATTGAAGGAATACGTATTTTTTCCAAAAATAACTTAATACCAAAAATAATCTCAAGGATAAAAGTAAAGTAGAATAAACTTTGAGGGAAATGGAAGGAATAAAAAAATTTCCAAGAGGAAGAATATATGGGTTATCGAATCCACTGCATGTGAGGGTAAGCTTAATGCCAAAATGAATCTCGAGGATAAAAGTAAATTAGAATAAGTTTTGAGGGAGATGGAATGAATACAAATTTTTCCAAGAGGAAGAATATCTGGGTTATCGAATCCACTGCATGTGAGGGTAAGCTTAATACCCAAAAGAATCTCAAGGACAAAAGCAAAGTAGAATAAATTTTGAGGGAGATGGAAGGAAGCACTCCAAAAATTTAAGCCAGACATAAAATTGTAAGTTCACAATCATATTAATCTTAACATTGATAATGGATGGATCCGTCATCTAGGACAATGGTCAATAATTTATTAAAGACCTAAGATAAGAATATCAAGAAACAAAGTATGAAAGTATAAGCGTTAACAAATGTTGGATTAGAATCCTATCTTTATTGCAAGTCAAAAACGAAGATGGATTTCCTTTCCCTTCGCTTTCCATCTTCAATACTAGAGATGAACTAATTGCACACGCACGAAATTTAGATTGAAATGAATAAAAAACGAGAGAAAAAAAGACATAAATTTTTATTTTAAGTTTGAAAAATTCATGCACCTCACATTTATTGAGATGAAAATGTAACAACCCCAACGGAAACTTCCACCTCCGGCCGCCGCAAGACCAACTGTTACTGCGTCACATCTTACGCTTACCTGACTTGGGTAGTCGCCGGCGAGTTTTGTCTTGTTTACTAAAAGCACTGCAAAACCCACAAGCAGAAACCTTAGGAGACGGCGGCTCTATCGCCGGAGACACCCTTCCGGTGTGGAATCCCCTTCCTCCGCTGTTGGATCGGCTTCTCTTTATCGTTATTCCGGCATAATTCTTTTCTTCAACTTGATGGCTATCTTCTCTTTGATTTGCCACTTTGTTCAATTCACCGGATAAGAACTTATCGTCCCAAACCAATCCTGAAGATCCTTGTCTCCTAAATGAAACTTCAGATCTCATCAAGCCGGCCATCATAAATCACCTGTTTCTCTCTCTAGACTTTTTTTTTTTTTAACTGTTTTTCCTTTATCTTCTCAAAAAATTTCTGGAATGAAACTTGTGAAATTATGGAGTATTTTGCGAGGTGTTTGTTTTGCCTAGACTTATCCCACAAAGTGTGTGTTATTTGAGCACATTTATACACACATACATGCAGAGAAATAGAGGGAGAAGTATCCCACAATTTCCTATGGGTTGGTTTGAAGAAGAGGTCACAAAAGCAATTTAGTCAATTGCTTAAATTAATTAACTTTGTTTACTTATTTTAAATGATCATCATACATTTGATATTGAATTAAAAAAGCCCTATCATATAGGTTGTAATATAATACATGATTGTTTATTAAATTTTACCAATCTTGATTGACCGACGTCTAATAATCAATTTAGAGAAAGAAGAAGTATGGTATGAGATAGGCGGCGGAAAAAATTCTTGATTGCTCCATTTTACTTTTAAGTATTGAATATTGAATGCATCTTGAAAATATATTTGCAAACAAAATCACATAATCAAGTACTGAAAAATACTTTCATTATGCAATATCCTCTCATCTCTCTTTAAATTTCTTTTCATTTTCCAACTTTTATATATAGTTTAATGCGCATGATCAATGTGAGTTTTGCCAAAAAAAAAATCAGCTTTTTGTGTTCATATATATCTAAATCAACCCTATGTATAAAATGCACCTTTGTTGTTCAAAAACGGCAACAAATTTTTAATTTTTGTTGGAGTCAAAGATTGAAATTTCAAGATGGTGACTTTGAATTTGGTGCAATTGTTGATAAAGCACTCATTGTATGAATACGTCAATAATGTCATTATCACATCATAGAATTATCATTTACCCTAATTTTAAATAAGGGATAATTGTAGCAAGACCCCGAATATTTCAAAAAGTTGCAGACTTTCTCCTAACTTTTCATTTATTGCAACCATTATCTCAAACATTTCAAAATATTACGAATAAAGCTCCAATGGACAGATTTCATCTATATTTCTATTAATTGATCAAAAAATTGGATGTTAACCACATTTTAATCAATTAAAAAAGGACAAAATGGTAACTTTATATTTTCCAAGGTAAAAAAAATAAATAAATAAATAAAATAAAAAAATAAAAAAAGGGGGAAAAATATATCTTCTTCTTCCCCACCCCAACCCCAAATTCCAACCCAACCACTCAACCCAAAACCAGAGATTTAACGACACCACGATTGGCCAAAAACTGACCCCCCCCCACACCACAATAACTTCCATTGCCGCCACCACCATGAACTTAGTTTATACCATACCTAAGATCAAAACCCACTGGACTAAAGAATCCCAATACAAATCTCTCTTCTTTTGATATAATTTCATCTCCATCACTTACCAATTTGCCTCTTGTAATTCGATTTTCAGTAGAAGCAAATACAGAAACTATACGAAATTGATCGAGAAAATACCAAATGAAGAGATTATTATAACTTTTGAAATTTGGTGCCAGTTCATTAATTGATAAATTTCTAGACATTCAAGAATGGAGATATTTAAATTTTGTAATGGTTGACCACTAAAACCTCTCTACACAATGTACACACACAGAGATTCTGACAATTCATGTGCAGTTTTGAATATAGATACACATAACATATACATACATACATGCGCAGAGAGAGAGAGAGAGAGAGAGAGAGAGATTACTTCGGGTTTTGGGTTGGAATGGGGATGGGATTGGGGTAGAAGAAGATATCTTTTTTCTTTTCATTTTATTTTCTTTATCTTTTATTTTTTAGTTTTTTTAATGTGGAAAATATAAAGTTAGCATTTTGTCATTTTATAATTGATTAAAATGTGGTTAACATCCAATTTTTTGGTCACTAACAGAAATATGGATGGATTCAGTCCATTGGGGCTTCATCCGCAATGTTTTGAAAGGTTGGGGTGACGGTTGCAACAAATGAAAAGTTAAGGGAATGTCTGCAACTTTTTGAAAGATTTGGGGTCTCGGCTACAATTATCCCTTTAAATAAAGATGATTGGTTTAAGGCCTAACTACTAAAAATGTAAACGTTTTTGGATAGAGAGCGATTTCTTGTTGGGTCATTCATCATGATTTGTGAGGAAATTATTGATATCACAATTATCGTATTATTTGAATTGAAATTGGTTTAGAATATAATTTTTCGATGTTTAATGACATATTTTATATGATAAAAGCCATTGAGAATTTTTGGTAATACATATTAGGATAGAAAAATTTGTTGATGAAACTTTATTGAATGTGAAAATAGCTTCTTTTTTTTTTTTTTTGGAATTGTCTAATGACAGAATATCATATCTATCAAAGAAGCTGTCAGTTACGAAGTACACCGAGCATTGTTGTACTTTTTAGTTTAAATATGCTATCAAACCAGAAGTTAATAATATAGGTCAAGGAATCTCCCGCACTTACTTTTGAAGGACCTCAACATGCACCATGTTGGAGGATTTTATACAAGGTAACAAAGATTTTTGTTTGTTATCTTGTTCCACATAATTGCTAATTCTCTCCATATTGGAAAAAATGACATTAAAGAAATGAATGCAGAATATTAAAGATTCCTTCCGCATTGTGATTAGTGTTCTGAGATTGGTTGGTGTATATTATGGAACGGCATTAAGATTTTTTACTTCACTCATTTTCTTGAACCCCACTTGCCACCAAAGGGCTTTGGCCTTTTTCTTGATTTTTTATGAATCCAAGGAATAGAGATTTCTCGATTTTATACTTTAGGGATTGGGAGCTATATATATGTTCTTGATTAGATAAAATTAGAGATGGGCGTCGAGTGAGAGTCTTTACTTCTTGCATGGTTATGTGAAAAGTTGAGCTTTTAGTGCACGAGAGTATGCTCGAATGGATTCTGATATTTGGGTCATCCAATCTTCAAGTTTGAAACTTTAGAGTTAGGTTTTCTATAAAAGAGTTGTACGAGTGCAGTCCACTGTACTATGAGGTTTAAGAAGGAATAGTTGGTGAATATATTGGCCTGTGGTATGTTTTGGATGTGATTGTGAAGGCCTAAATCCAATAGCAGTTTCTGAAAAGGGCTTCAAGAATTTTTTTGATCAAGCTCTGTTATTTAGATTCTTATTACTGGGAATGTAAATTTGATGCAATAATGTCATCGTGTTTCCAGCCATTCAGATATGCGTCATATACAGTCTGTTGTGTAAGTAAACATAAGAGCCAGGCCAGAGAAAAGAGAATTCCGGCTTTTGTCAATCTTCAATCATCCCACAAGCTGAAGAAACTAGCGATCATCTGAATGTCAGAGAAATTATTTTTCGAATAAATCCTCGAGAAACTCTAATGCTGTTGGAATTATTGGAGTTTTGATGGTCGGTTCGACTTTGATTTTTATAAAGAAGTTGATTTTGCAAGATGAAGAAAATGGTCTTCCCTTTGTCCTTTGTTCTGACCAGTGGCGAATCCAACAGCGAAGTTCAGCTAGGGCAGAGCCGCAGAGCCGCGAAACTTGACCTTGACCTGGATCGTTGACCATCAACAATCATAATAGCCCGATCATTTAAGCAAACTGTACAGTCATTTTAAATTCATTTAAACAAACTGTACCGATATATTATTAATTTTATTTTATTAAAAATATAAGCAGCAAGAAAAAACTTCAATGCTTCTTTTTTCTGAAACTCTTCTTTTCTTTTCACCAAATTTACAATTGCATTATCACCTCACAAAGTTCAATGATACTTCCAATTGCCAAATATCCAACTTCATGATGGAAATATATGGACAAAATATTCCATTATTTATCTAATCCTCTTTTGAGTTTTGATTTTTGAGTATCACAGATTCACAAAAATATTAACAAAGCCAAATTAGTTTCTTTATATGTATCCACCTAATCTCTAAACTTTATTGTAACCTTGGTTTCAAACATCCAAAATCCAGATAATCAAGTCATTTTCATTATTATATACCTTCGTGTAAGCAAGAAATTAAGTAGCAAATCACTTTTAAGTGGAGGCTCTATTGACAAAACCCAAATCCCAAAACCTTCAAAAGCACCGCAAATTCAAAACCTGAAATCAACAAAATAATACATTACATTGATAGCATAGATTAGACTATTTAAAGACAAAAAAAAAAAAAAAAAGAGTTAAAATCTTGTCTATTAGTTTATTGAAAAAACAAGTGAGGTACCTTATTGAACTTGTTCTGAACTAGCGAACATATCCACAACGTCAGAAATTCGTCTTTCAAGATTCCACAAAACTATACAGAGAGATCCATGAATCAAATATAACCCACAAAAAAGAATATTTTCCTCCATGAAAAGGGAAGGAAAAAAAATGCTTACAATAACAAGAACAAAATTAGAAAAAGAAAAGGGAAACAAGTCTACAAAAGTGTTGTTTCATTTATTACATTATTATCATTTACGAACACCGTGGTCCCCCAAAAAAACATAGTACTGTAAAAACAATTAAAAGTAACAATAAATAAAAATCAAGTAAAATTAAGCACATACTAGGGCTTTCCCGCCAGATCCGCCACGGATTAGCACTTCCCACTTCGCAGGCGCTACGCAGCTAGAATGGAAATCTGGAAATTGAAGGGTTTGCAGCGTTTGTTTGCACATTACATTTTTGTTGCCGGTTTCAAATTGAGTTTGGGTTGGAGGAAATATTAAATACCATGGATGGACTCAATTTCCACTATTGGGCTAATGTTTTAAAACAAAAATAGGCCCAATTTAGTTACACTCATCAGATCAGCCCAAAGAAAAAAAAATAAAAATTGAAACTCTTCTTCTCCAATGGTCCCGTCCGTCTCTACAACTTGGTCTTCCACCCGGTGGTCTCTGAAATGTCCAGTCTTCCACCCGACGGTCTTGGCGGCTACTGAAGACTCCGACGGATCCAGTTAGGGCGACCGCTTTAGCTTGCCAGTACCTGGATCCGCCCCTGGTTTTGACCCAATCCTAAGAAAGGAGCTTTTAGACCTTGAAACTTTGACAGTAAGATTTTATCGCGAAAAACTTCAAAATGAGGTATCTCATTCTATTATATGTGCCTCTAATGCAAATCTTTTGGTGCATGTTTGGTATGCAGTTCTGGATGGACAAGAGAGCGCATAGTCAACTTGATTTTAACTTTTTTTTTCTTATTTAATATTTTACAACGGTGTCCAATTCTCCTTACCAAACATGCCATTAA